GGCGCGCAGTCTAGCCTCATCATCAGCAGCGAACAAGGCTATATACATATGAACGCTAGCCTTCATTATTAGCAACCATTTCAGTGCTGCTCAGGCCAGCCGTCTTGAAGATCTTTGGAAAGAACATCCTAAAGCAACAGTGGAAGACCTAGATCGCCCGGGTGTTGATACTGAACCAGAGAGTGTGCTGTTAAGGTATGCTTGTGTAGTTTTCTCTTCATTTTCATTGCTGGTTTCTTTTTCATGTATCGTATGTCGTAATTCTATTCAGAAGCTGTTTAATCATTATTTAATGTTTTACCTTGCGTATTCTTCTAGATACGAAGATGCGTTCCACTATCGGCGTATTTTTGCTCCGCTAGTCCGCGAAGAGGCTCGCCGAGTTTGACTCGAAAGACGAAAGGAGTCTCAAACGCAGAGTGTTGGTCATGTCCGTTGGGATCAAGGATTGAACAAAAAACACCTCGCATTCTTTCATTTGCCGAAGTTCATGGAAGGAAGTGAGTTTTGTTTTGACAGCTTGCAGGGATTTGAGGTTCACCTGAAGACAGTTTCCGCGCTCACTTCGGATACCTCCTTACCGCGTTCTTTTTTTCTTTTTTTATGCTCTGCAAGGGTGGTAACATTGAGTGTCGCGATTAGTTAGCCGGAGGCGGAACGATATCGCTTAGGTCGCGTTCAGACTTCGCGACGGTAACGCTTCGGTCGCGATCGACGCAACCAAAGCGCATACTTCGACTGCATTATTCGCTTCGAACGCACGATCAACGGTGCCGGCGCGAAGTCTGAACGCTGCTTAGCTCTCACAAAATGAACAGATCAGGGAACCGTACAGTGAGGCGCCAGGTGTGCTTACTCAGGGTGCTCCCTAACTTTCTTTGCTCTTGGCGGCAGTAAGTTCTTTACTGAACGCCACTATTCGCAGTATGCGATCGCGGAGTTTCTCTTCAGGCACTGAATCATTCTGGGATAAAACTGTTTGCAAAAAGACTTGTGTAAGATACCGTTCAGACTTCGCGATCTTATCGCTCGATCGATGGGATCGCGAAGTGTGAGCGCGCTCCTGCACATCCGATCGCAAAGCGATCCGGCGGAATTCAAAATGGGTCGCATTCACACAGTGCCAATCTTCGAAGCGCAGTTTTTTAGGCATGAAATTGATGATCGGTGACGAGCTACGACTCAAGCATAATCAAACGATCGAAAGGGAATGGCAATGTTTGGGACAGGTTTTCAAGATCCCTGATAGTGAGTTTTGCTTTTCCGTAATGTTTTTGATCACAGTTTTAATAGCCTTTTGAAAAATTCCCATTTCAGATCATAGCGACGAGATTGGAATAGAAATGCGTGCTGCTGCCTCGGAGAAAATGCCCACTGATCCGCGCATCAATTTCACTTGTGAGGTAAGCAGAACAATAGCGTTGCCTTACTACTGTTTTCCTATGATTTCACTTCAGGCTGTGTGGAACTCGACGTCATTCGATCGGATGTATCAGGCGTTGAATACACTAGAAAAAGATCCTCACTGCGTTTCTCAGTACATTTTCCATAAGCTCATGGGGCACGATATTGACGAGATTCTTTTCAAAGTAAGTGATTTTTGGCTACTCTGCGTTTCAAGTGTTTGTGTTGTGGCCATCTTCAATCAGGCATTAATGGCTTTGGAACAGAGATAAATCGTCGCTTTTCATGTAGCGTAGTGGGCGAATTTGCCTGGGACGGAGTGAGCAGCGTCGGTGTTATCGCACATGCTGTATAAGTACCAAAAGAGCCGAAGTTATGAATGCCCTAAAGAGTAGGCGGCGCTAAAAATTGAAGGCTGCGCTACGTGATCAGAAGACAGCTGGGATGGCGCTGCAAGCGAAATTGTGTGATTGCATCGTGAAATATTGTTCGATACGTTTTTGTAGGTGCAACAACCTAAACGACTATCGGCTCCTGGCCTTCCTGAGTTGAATCACAGCCAAATGCATGCTGTAAAAACAGTTCTCATGAGACCGCTGAGTCTTATTCAAGGACCGCCTGGAACTGGAAAGGTTTGTCTGTGAACCATCAGCCTTTATTGTTTTCCTATAGTAAGCATTTTCGCTTGAAACCTCTATTAATGTCATTCATTTAGACAGTAACATCAGCCACTATTGTCTATCATCTGGTACAGCAAACAGAAGGTCAAGTGTTGGTTTGTTCTCCATCTAACATTGCGGTGGATCAACTTGCTGAGAAGATTCACCGTACTGGGCTGAAGGTGAGGATCTGCTTGTGCTTTTCAAGTTATTTTCCATTTTTACGCCCTATGTGTTGAGAATATGGACCGTTAATATTATAACCCTTAGGTTGTTCGGCTTTATGCGAAGTCTCGAGAAGCACTGGACACAAACGTTGAATTTCTTGCATTGCACGCTCAGTTGAAAGCGCTCAAGGAGTCTGCCGAATTGCAGAAACTTCAACAGCTTGAAGGTTTTTGGAATCTCTAATGCGTGAGGGTCATTTGTATAC